TGCGAACAATCATAGCGAGAGCTCTATGACAGCAGAGAAATACTCTCGGTGACATTATTTCTCGGATGCTTAGCCTTCTACTGGGGTGCTTAGTCTTATCTAGTCAAGCAGAGCTTAGATTATGTTGATGCATTAAATTTTTAAGTTATTTTATGAATATTAAAATTAAAGTGGTCGAATTAATTAATGAAGAGCACGAAGAAATAATCTTATTTTTGCGAGTCTACGCAACAATAATAATATTTTCATAAGTCTTTTGAATGTCATGACTGCAATTTGACCGGTGTGATTTTGGTTATTTCGAACATTGAAAACATGTATGTATTGTAAAAGTGACATAATCATTTAAGAGGCCTTATCATTGTTTTCATATTTTATTTTATGCTTGTGTGTTTAATTATCATACATTTCGATATAAATTATCGAACGATTTGTATAAATTATATGATATTTAGTTCAATTCCATGACACGAGTTATTGAAATAAAATATAAAATTGATAAAAGTATTGAATTACCAGTAAAAAATACAAGTCTATTTATGAGTTATATACAATGTTTGTTAATACTCAATTTTAAACACTTTAATACAACTCTAATATCTACACCCATTAAAATTAAAATTCATTTATTTATTTATTTATAATAAATTTATTATAATATCATAAATTAACGTTTAATTAAACAAATTTTCTTCTAATTCTTCTAATTACTATTATTATTATTATTATTATTATTATTATTATTATTATTATTATTATTATTATTATTATTATTATTATTATTATTATTATTATAGGATTTTGTTTAAAAAAATCTTTTACATGATTTATTTTATATCGTGATAATTGCTAGAATGTGGGAAGCCAACAAATTACAAAACAATAAGTCCAATCATGCTTAATCCGTAGTCAACATTATTACTTAGCAATGCAATATCTTAAGCTTATAGTGTATTGAAATGCACAAAGGAGTTAACATCTTTCTCGAACACTTTGAAAGTGAGATCCAAAATACACAGCTATTCAATTAGATACTGGGTGAATTAATCATCGCCAGGGAAGAGACTGATGTATCATCTCTTTGAGTCTGTTGTGTGGTCATTACATTCGTAATTCCATCATGAATATATATTGAAAATCTTTCAATTTCGCTTGATAATTTTTATTTACTTACGCATACGTAAATGCGAATTAATTAAAAATGCATTTTCATAAGTTTCACTAATGTAAGTTTGTAAAATTTACATATGAGAGTAATGACTCCTTCAATAGAATTTTTTGTATAAATTATATTAGCTATTGACAATAGTTTTTTTTTTTTTTTTTTAATAATTCATAGCTCTGCATTTATTGTTATGAATTATTGAAAAAACAAAAAGTAATAAAAGATCCTTTTTAATCTACATTTTATGTAGTTTACATTTAATTCTCTATTGTATTAAAGGCAGGATTTAAAAAATATCGATTTTATGAAATATTGCAAGCATTTGAAATCAAAAGTGTTACACCTTAATTTTAAAAATGTACATGAAAAACTTTTATACCTATAACTTTTTAAAAAGTTTCTGTATAATACAAAAAATATATATATAAAATTATTGTTAACATTTTAAATAATTGAGTAAAAATTCTACAAACTTTTTAAAAAGTCCATTGAAAATACAGTTAATAAATATATTAAAAATGTTTAAAACTAATTTTTTTTATTCAGCCAGAAAATTTTAAGATTCTGATGATAGTCTATAAAACAACTTAGGATGTACTCTTTTTACAGAACATGTGCATACATTCAATGTTAACGTTATTTAAATTGGTCGACAATTACATAACATTACCGGTTAAATTTAATACTAATGTTAACCAACTTCATCATTTTCTTCGAATTTTTGTTTTAAAGAATTATTTTATAAATTTACAAAATAACAATGCTGTAGTTGGTTCTATTTTGACAATCATCTATATAAAATTATTCATCAATCTATATAAATAGAAATAATCTGCACGAATCAACTTTCAGCATTTCATGAAGATAACAATAGATCTATATTTTCATTAATTTTAGCCATTATAAATTTTCTACCATTTTTCATAAAATGAGTCATAATAAATATATTATAAAAAAATGCAATAGTTTATAATACTTAATTGCCATTTATCGTTATTGTAGAAAAATACATATTAGATGCTTGTGCGATTGTTATTGAATACGAAGAATTTTGTAGAAATTCCATAAATTATAAAAAAAAATAGTTTGTTTAGTACATAATAAGCAATTCAATGTATTAGAAAATATACAAATATATTGATGAAAGAGAATACAACAAATGTATTAAATAAAACAAAAATTTTATTATGTAAAGTAAAATATTAACATTAATAATAATAATATTAATGAATAACAAAGCAAAATTAATTATACGTTATATTAAAAAACTTTAAAGTAATTTTTAAATTTTTAATTTTTTTATGTTTATACTATTTAATAAAAAAATTTTAAATAAAAACTGGATGAATTGAACTAATTATATTTTTCACACATTGCTATATTACTTTATAGGAAATATTGAAATGTCATTAATGCATACAGTTACAGGTACAAATTTATTTACTCATTATTTTATAATTGTTTAAAAATTCAAATTATTCTTAAAAAACAGATTTGCTACTGATAAATTTAATATTAATTGGAAATACTATCCATCTTATTTTTACAGTAAATTTATGAAGAAAAAAGTAGAATTTTTATTTTGTTAAAAATAAAATATACTATTTAATTTCATTGTTATTAATCATTTAGCCTACTCTGCTGCTACAAATTATATTTAATTTATTAATATCAAATACCAAATATATATTATATTTGGTTCATTGTATTTATTTATTCATGCTTATAATTATAAAACAAAAACTATAAATATAAAATGAAAGTGAAATCTTTAATCAAATTTTATGAACGTAAGTATATGTTATTAGTCAATTTATGTATGACATTTAAAAAATAGTTTTAATTACTTTCATAAATCTTTATCTTATTTAATAAGGTATAGTTAAATTAAGAAAGCAATTCTTATTTTTGATTACAATTAATAAAATTATATTAGTAGGAGACTGGAAAAGTTATATATATTTAAATTTTCAGTACTCGACTGATCAATTAAAATAAGTAGAAATAAAATAACGCATTCTTACAGTTAAAATTTTATATAAAAACTCATCCCTTTCGATTGTGAGATAAAAATATTTACTAAATTATAATAAACAAAAAGTATTGATAAATAAACGGAAAGAAACACATAAAGGATAATTTTGCGGTATTCCATACATATTTCTTATTAGAAAAAATTAAGTGGAAGTTAATTATTCCTGTTTGCACTGTTATATTAAACAAAAGCTTATATTTCTAAGAATTTTAATACCGTTTATATTACAGTGTAATACCTATTAACCTCAAACATATATTTACAATAAACTAATAAAGAGAATTTTCAATTCAAGTAAAATTAATAATTTTTCTTTTGCAAAAATTTCTAGTGCCTTCTGTGATACGAAGATCTTAAATGTTAGAATTAATTGAAATACAATTTATTGTAAAGGTATGTATTTTTTCTGGTGAACATAATATTTATTTAAACGAAAATTGTAAACAAGGAAATTGATGATATTGAAAGTAAAAAAAAAAAAATGGACTTACATAACTCGGTGTATCCCATAACTGGTATTTAAAAAATATTTTAGTAAAAATCTCTAATTTACCTGGTTGATAAAATATTTAAGAGGTTAAATCACTGTGGAATTTTTGAAAATTATGATTTATTTTTAATTTTAAACAAATTTTAGAATACCAAATATAATGAGCGAAGAATTTCAATATGCTCATACAGTCGAGTTTATGGCATTTTTAAAATATGAATATTTAAAATTTTAAATGCAAACTTTTTTAAAACGAAATTTTTAAATCAGTGAAGAATTTTTAACCGATTCACTTGGAATTCTCATAGTATCGTTAAAATTCAATGTTCAATCACAGTACGCACCGATTTTCTAATTCGTTATCCATTTCTTAATAACTTTATAGATAATAAAAATTTCTTTTTATTCTAGCACTAATAAGTAATAATTTCTGCATAAAAGGTACGTCAATTTATTTAAAACTATATTTACCGTTCAGAAAACATTAACGCTAAAAAATATTTCTATTCGTTTCATAAATTTCATTATCAAATTCTTTAAGTTCACGTAACTCAAAAGGTTTTCGTGTGCATTTAATTCTTACTTTAAAAATGCCGCTAAAAAAACATTAATTTTTTTAATTACGTTCCTTCGGCTTTTTAACGCTGCTAGTCGATCGGTATTCTTAAGACGGCCAACGAGGGTTATGAGTCATTTTGAAAAAGAGGGGTAAAGATTTTTGGAACAATATACCCGTGCAAAGCTTGATAAATAACGGAAATCCAAAGAGAATAAGAGGGAAAAGCCCGTCTATCTATCCAGCGATTAATTGTTATAGGAGAAGGCATTCGCCAATTCTAAAAGCTTAATTGAGCGCGAATAATATCCGTGAAGAAAATTTCCATGCACGCGACTGTATTATTTGAAGTGAGCTCTCTGTGAATTGCTGTTGAAATTGCCGTTTAATCGCCTCCTTGAGAGCTTTCTCTCAACATCGTTTTCTTAGATTTGCAATTTCTTGAAAATTTTAAACGACCGAGTGTGGAGAATAAAGGGACAAAAAAGTCATCTCCAAAAGACGTGAAATTTCCTGAAACAAAAGGGGAACGTTTCAAAGATAGACGGAGGATTGGATGCCTTGATTGTCATAGACGAAAATAGGAAATCGTTGAAGAACTTAACAATATATTATACGTCTTTCAAGTTTTTAGTACACAATTAGTATTTCTTAAAAAATTATATCAAAATTCATTGATATTCTGATTTATTTATTAATACATAATGCACATTATTTTTTATTTGAAAAAGTTAATTGCAATTAACATAGTTACTGATAAAAAATATTCGCCATTCAATAAATTCACTTGCCATTTATAGTAAAAAGAAGTTTGAGCACAGATAGAAACACAAAATAATTATTTTACAATCAAGAGTTTTGTACTAAACTCAGCCAACTTCTTCCGTCGCCAGCGGGATTCGTTGGTATGCGAATCTGAACTAGTCGCATTGTTTTATTTCCATCTTCGATAATTTCTTTAATATTAGCGCCAGCTGGCAAAACTATAGTGTTGCCGTCTGCATCTTGGTAGCCATAAACTTCCTCTACAGCATCTGCTACTTCTGTCTTACATTCCATTACTTCGGAATCCTCAAATGCCATCTAGATGGAAAGTTTTTCTTTTAAGTAATTCAATTCGTTCAATTTATCACAGTTAAATATTGGTTCATTCAACCTTTTGGAATATTTAAACTTTTCATGCGACATCAAAAGTATAAACATTTTTCATTTATTACTTCACATATTTATGATAAATATAACTTTTTTTATTATATTTTGAAATTTGTAATTGTATACTATTTATTTATATTATCAATTAAATAGTCAAATATAAATAAAATTTTCCCATAATTTTCAGATAGAATTTTAAATACATTAAATACATTAAAATAATTAAATAATAATAATAGTTAAATATCTTTTTCGTTGGAAATCGATCTCGTTAATAATAATTTTTAAATAATGAATGAGGACTTTATTAATAATCATTTATATATGTGTGTATGCGCGTGTTGAATTGGATTCAAAAAATTTTTTTTACAAACTTGTCCATCTACTACAAGATGATCCATTTCTTCACCACTTATATTTCCTTCTGTCAAACTCAGAACATTTTGATCATCTTCTTGAATTATTACATGATCTTTCAGTTCTGTGACAATTAGTTGTGTATTTTCATCTAACTAAAGATAAAAAAAAAAATTTTATTAATAAATTAAATGTCGTGTTAAAAATCATTCAATAACGTACTTGATTGGAGTCGTTTTCCATTACTAGATGAACTCTATTTTCTTGAATAATTACATCATCTTCTGTAGTAAGTCTTGGTTGATTAACAACAATTGTATCATTTAAATGACCCTAATAAATAAAAATAAAGAAATAATTGAAGTAAGTAAATAAATGTATGCATATATTTAATATAAATGTCTACGCACATACACGTGCGTGCTACGTACATAGCACACACACGCATTAAAAACTATAAATAGAAGAGATTTGTTACCTGTGTCTGCATATGTGTATAAAGTAAGGGTTTTCGCATAAAACCCATTCCACATACTAAACACTCGTAAGGTTTTTTATCGCTGTGAATAAATCTATGTGCATTTCGATTATCCCGACTATTAAAAGCTTTTCCGCAAACCTATAATGATAATACATAAAAAATTGTTTAATAATATTTACTATCATAATTGGTTACCTCGCATAAATATGGTTTTTCTCCCGTATGAATACGCATATGCTTTTTAAAATGTTCCGGATATACAAATGTTGCTGTACAAGTTTCGCATTTGTAAGGTCGTTCCCCAGTATGGGCTGCTTTAATGTGATAGTCTAATAATCTTCTTCTTTTAAAACCTTTGCCACAATCATCACATTTATATCTTTTATCGTTGTAGTGAGTTGCTCTTTTATGAGACTGTAGGTTTGATCTTTGGCTACAATCAGTTGTTTATTAATTAAAAAAAAAAATCAAAAACAAAAATAAAATTTATCAAATGTTTTTAATCTATATATATATATATATATATATATATATATATATATATACACAGAAAAACAATAATTAATATATGCTTAAAAACAAAATTTCAATGCAATTTATTTATAAATTTTCTTATTATAATTTATATATTATGTACCTGAATGTGGCCCCACAAAATTCACATTGATAAGGTTTCTCGCCTGTGTGAGTTCTTTCATGATCACGAATTTCCGCTTTCCGTGCAAAGGCTTTACCACAAACACGACAAATGTACGGTTTATATCCAGTGTGGACAATATTATGAACTACAAGATTATGAACAGAACCAAATGCTTTGCCTAAACGAAAGATAAACATAAACTAACGTACTTTAACATTATCAATATTTTCGATTAACAAATAAGAGAAACTTGCCACATTGTTGACAAACATATTCCTTAACACCATTGTGTGTTTTAACATGTTGCGTCAAATTTTGCTGACTAAGAAAAGTTTTGTTACATTGAGAACACTCGTATGGTCTTGGTCTAATCTGATGAGTTTTTACATGAGCGCGATGAGTGTATTTTGATGCAAAATCTTTGCCACATATTTCACAAATATATGGTCGGTTTCCAGTATGTGTATTTGTATGTTCTTCGAGTAAATTTTTCGAGCTATAGCGTTTACCACACGTTTCGCATGTCCAAGACTTAACTTGAGGGTAATGAATTCGCTTGTGAATACGAAAAAGTCGTAAATTACTGAATATTCTATTGCATACTTCACACTGAAAGTCGCCTTCCTCCTTTGCTACATGATCATCTAAGTGATGTGATAATTCAGTTCTTTTTCGAAATTGATCCCCGCAAATATCGCATATATAGAGACGCGTATCGTGCTCATCCTTTAAATGAGCAATTATACACTTAGCATCTCTACTTTCTTTTTCACTATCTGAGCAAATGGCACAAATGTAATTATCACCATCTCTCAAAACCAGCTATAAAAATATGTATCAACACTTAGTATATATATATTTTTAATCGTATATTCTTATTCTACACACCTTAATATTATTATAAATATAATTTATATTAATTAACTTTATTTATATTTTACTTTTTAACATCAAATCAAAACGTTACAGTATTACATAAGCCCAAAGTATATATATATATATATATATATATATATATAGATATATATATATATAGTAGATAATATGTAGTTATTGAGTTTTCAGGAAAGCTAAAAATTTCGTAATAAGCAAAATTTTAAACCAGAATATTCATAATTATTAGAAATTGATATAGGAAAGTATTTATTTTAGATAAAAATAATTTACATAAAAAATTATCTGTGTTTCTTAATACAATAATATATTTATTCTGGTAATAATGAAAAACTAATATTCCTTTAATAAAGTTACTAAATTATTATTGTCTGATTAAAAAATAATTTACTTAAAACTATGGAATTTATATTATTACATTACTACATTACATTACTACTGTATACATATTATTAATGTAATAATCATATAAAATATAATTTACCTCTTCTACCGGTTCCTCTTTTTTTATCTTTTGAGCTTTAATGCAATTCTTTTTCTCTATAATCACTTCTTCAATTTGTGACTCTTCGTTTTCAGGTGAATTAATTTCTACATCATCATCCTGAATATCTTCATCATGAATATCATCATTTTCCATATCATCACTTTGTTCATTATTACTTTGTTCATCATCAACATTATCTATTATTATTTCAACGGATTTAACAATTTCTTCGGTATCAATGACATCAGACTTGAAATGATAATGACAAATCATATTACTCCTTTAATATGAAACACTTATTTTAATAAATACAAAGAACTTACCTCAATTGAAATTGCGTCTGAAATATTCACCTTTTTAGATTTTTTCTTAATTTCCTTCATTTTCCCTGGAATTTTAACTACCGATAATGTATCTACATTTTCCAGATTATCAATATAATCATGGTCATTATATTCATCTCCGTTAGCATTTATCTTCAAAAATTTCATAGAAGTTTTTTTATATAAATTAGATATTTCTAATTTAACTTCTGTTAATTTAGATTCTAATTCATTAGCCTTTAGATGTAATCACAATAATATTTTTATATACATGTAATATTAAGAAAATTAATAGATTCAGAAAATTTACCTCATTAATAAGCCTAAAACACTTTTTACAAATTATTTCTGAACGTGCGTTTTCTTTATTTATAGTCACTTGTAATAAGGAACAGAGGATATCAATTATAGGTTTTTCTGAACTCGTTATTGCATTATCTTCAAAAATACAAATACTGTTCCTTGACGAAATTCCTATTTTGTTATCACAAAGTAGACAATATAAGACATCTTTCTCAGAATCTTCGGTCATCTTCAACACTTCTGTAAATATCGATAAAACAATGGAAAATTATAGCCTATTATCTGGATAGAAAATGTAAATATTTTATTATTTTGTAGTAAAATTCTCAATTTTGCAATTAAAGTACTCAATGAAAAGAAACAAAAATATAAATAAAAAAAATGCTCGATTCATCTTAAGATGAATTCTTATTGTTTAAATATATATATATATATATATACATAACACAACATCAATATATATTGTTATATTATATATATTAATATTTCAACTGAATGAATTTTAAAAGCCAAAAATTAAAAGTTTAAAAGAATGGAGCATAATAAAGTTTGCAGGTAATCAATGAACGTCAAGTTTGTTAAAGTTTTTTACAAGCTATAATATAGTTATCTCGCTGTTATAAAGTTAATTATTTATAATTTAGAAAATGAATTTAAAAAGATATAGAATTTGAATAGTACTTATTAACAATACAACAAAATGCATATTATCTGTTTTTGAGAATTTAAAAAATTTATAAATCACTTATTCATTAATATTTATAAACAATATAATAAACAATTTGATAAACAATATAAATGTACATATAATGTATATGATATATACATATATACATATAAGTATGAGAATGTACATTTTTTGCTCTTAACTGTATCTAAAACAAAAACAAAAAAAAATGGTAAAAAATATAAATGCTTTAAAGGAGAAGAATGTCATCGATAAATATTGAAAGTGTAAAGTATTTTAAATTCAAACCTGTCGGATATTTAACAGATGTAAGCGATGAGTTGGTTAATAATGAAGTACTTACCTCATTATTTATAATGCGGATAGGTTAACAGAGTTATATTAACAAAATATATTTGTGTAGGGGGTGTGTAGTTTATGGGAAAAATTTTTGTGCTTTAATAAGTGAATAGTGAACCACAACTGATTATTAAAGATTCTCTTTAAAAGAATAGGCGATGATAGTGAGTACTTGCCGACACTAGACCAATAAACAGGTTTCACTAACCAAATCCGAATATAAACAAAAATAGATAAGGGTACCTATAGGTCTTGGGGTCATAAGACGGACTTCAACGAAAATGTCTAAGTCATATTTCGGAAGGATTGATCCGGCCAGTCAGTAGTCGCGCGCTTTTTCATCCTCTCGGGCCGCGCGAAAGGTTTGCAGCGACGATGCAAGGAAGGCGAAAGGACGTACGAGGCGTAACAGGCCATCGTAGATGAGTCGACCTTTGCTCGTTCGTGACTTCGTGACTTTATAAAATTCATCCTGGCACGTTCATGCTAGAACGGTAGGCTCGACTGCGCCCAGGATAACAAACGAAAACACAACAGGCGCGAGAGAAAAGACAAATGAAATGTAAATATAATGAGAAAAGTTGCCAGCACTGACTTGGAATTTTCGTCTCGATGTCCGGGCGATTGGCAAGGCAGCGACGCCATTCACGTTCCACTTTTCCTCTCCATGGCCGCGGCGCCTGCCGCGCTACTCGCGTTGCTGTCGCCGCCGCTGCTGTTGCCGTCGGAGCTGCTGCTGCTGTTGCTGTTGCCGCTGATGCTGTTGATGCTGCTGCTGGTGCTGCTGCTGCTGCTGTTGCTGTTGCCGCTGATGCTGTTGATGCTGCTGCTGGTGCTGCTGCTGCTGCTGTTGCTGTTGCTGTTGCTGCTGCTGCTGCTGCTGCCGCCACCGCCGCCGCCACCGCCACCGCCGCCGCCGCTGCTGCTGCCATCGTCGCCGCCTCCACCTCCGCCACCGCCGTCGTCGCCACCGTTTCTTCTGCTGTTTCCACCCCCACTCCGTTCGATTTTCTATCCTAATGCCTGTCGTCTTCTTTCTTTATTTGACTCGTGGTGTATTTTTGGCCATTACTTTCTCAAATTTCCCAATACTGATATCAGCATTTATTCATGAATAATCGATGGTATATCAGCAACGTCGCAAGATTAAAAAAGAGAACAAAAAACCATCCCTATAACGTAGAATAATTTTTTTACTTTCGATTTATTATCGTTGTTATTGTTGTTATTGCTATTATTTTGTGCATCGTTATTACTATCGCTGTCGTCATTATCATTATCATTATAATTTTGTTGTTGTCGTTGTTGTAAATCTGTTGTCATCGTCGTCGTCGTTGTTGTTTTTGCTGTCATTTCGTGCATCATTATTACTATCGTTATCATTATTATCATTATCATTATCATTATCATTATCATTATCATTATTATTGTTGTTGTTATTGGCTGTCGTGGCGGTGTTTGTTGTTTTGTCATTTATTAAGAAATATTATTTAGTACGACGTTATATACGACGTCATATATTAAAATGAAAAATGTACAATGACACTGAAAGTATAAAAACATTACGATGATAGGCATTTTTTCGTATCTCTTCATATAGATGGAAGTTAGGAGTTTCGTAATTTGAATTAAATGCACATCTCGAGTGTTACTTTAATTGAATAAGTATACATAATCAATTTCTCTCAGTTCTCCATTAATTTATCTTTCTAATCTTTCATTCCGACCCCTTCATATAATATTCAAAAAGAAAAGAAGTATGCAATATGTTACATTTTGAAAAAAAATGAATCCGCGCCTTTACTTTTGTTTCTCAACGCTTCTATAAAAAAAAATGTGCTATACAATTTCAGTTAAGGTTAGATTATAATTTGGGCTTGTATGAGCTTACTTTGCAGAGGCGCAAATATCGTGAAGTACATAGGATTTGTACATTCATATATTTCTTCTATACTTGTAGATAAAGTGGGGGAGTAAAGTTCACGAATGCCTAGATGTTTTCGAGCTATTTGAGTTATGTATTTCATTTGATATTCGCTTGAGGAACGAGTGCGACCGAATCCACGTCAGGAATTATTCATTATTTTAGTGCAAATGACTGAAAATGTATTTGAAAAATCGACGGGAAGTGGAAACAGATATGGTCCGCTTATTGGCGCAATTGACGAGGGCACAAGTAGCGTTAGATTTTTGGTAATTGTTTTGAAAATTCTATCGAATTTTTTTTTCTCTCTCTAATTTTTCTTACCACTGTTATCTTATGTAATTTATAATACTGAAGAATAACAAAATTAAGCATTTATTATTTGAAAGCCCGATAAACTATAAAGTTACAAAATCATTTTCCAGAACGATAAATTACAAAAGTCAAATTTCAATGAAATAATAAATTTTATATAATTGCTTTATTTATTATATAATTCTATATAAATATTAACATACAATTTCAGTATAAATATTTCAATTGTGTGCTATAGGTCTTTGCGGCCAATACCGCCGAAGTGTTAACTTATCATCAAAAAGAACTAAATGTTTTTTATCCGCAAGAAGGATGGGTGGAGCAAAACCCAATGGAAATAATCGATGCTGTACAAGAGTGTTTAAATCGAACTGTCGAGAATCTGAAACAATTAACGATTAATCCGGCTGATATTGTTGCTATAGGAATAACAAATCAGAGGGAAACGACTATTCTTTGGGATACCGAGACTGGAAAGCCTTTGTACAATGCTATTGGTAATTGTTTAATCGTTAAGGTTGATACGCGTCTCCAATTGATTACAAACTTCAGACGTTAGTGACAAAAATAATTTTATTTATAGTATGGATGGATATGCGAACTACCACTATCATAGATGAAATCTTAAATAATATCCGTAATCGAAACAAAGATTATCTTAAGTCATTGTGCGGCTTACCAATAAGTCCATATTTTAGCGCTTTAAAAATAAAGTGGCTTATAAATCATGTTAGCCAAGTGCAGGAGGCGATAGCAGAGAATCGATGTATGTTTGGAACTGTAGATTCGTGGCTAATATGGGTATCGATTTTTTGAAAATTTGCATGCACAAATACGCAGAGATTGTTTATGCAACGACATTGGTTAATTTGTTTTCATTCATATTGGAAAATATATTCTTAGAATTTAACGGGTGGAGCAAAGGGTGGAGTACACTGTACAGATGTCACAAATGCTTCCAGAACAATGCTGATGAATATAGTTGATTTGAAATGGGATCCGTATCTTTTATCATTTTTTGAGATACCGAGAAGTATATTGCCACAAATTCGTAGTTCATCTGAAATTTATGGTAATATCGTTGATGGAGTTCTACAAGGCGTACCTATATCAGGGGTAAAATAAAATTTATTATTATAATTTATATATATATATACAAATTAACAATCAATAATAAATACTTTGTATATCCATGTTAGTGTTTAGGAGATCAACAAGCTGCTCTCGTTGGTCAAATGTGCTTTCAGCATGGACAAGCAAAATCCACCTATGGAACTGGATGCTATCTTTTGTATAATACAGGAACTAAAGTAATTACTATCTTTTTATTAAATAAAATATAAAAATATGTATGTATAAGTTGCTATAATGTAATATAATTATCAAATAATATATTATATATATATATATATATGTTCTAACAGTGCCATGTTTTGTGCTTTACAGATTGTTCAATCATCTCATGGCTTATTGACAACTGTTGGATATCAGTTTGGACCAAAAGCAGATCCAGTTTATGCATTAGAAGGTTCCATTGCTATAGCTGGTGCAGTTGTTAAGTGGCTTAAAGATAATTTAGAGATTATTATTAATGCTCAAGAAACTGAAGTTATCGCTGAAAAATTAAGTAACGATAACCGAATTATTTTTGTCCCTGCTTTTTCGGGACTCTATGCACCGTATTGGCGAAAAGATGCAAGAAGGTTTTTTCTTTTCTAAATAATTATTCTCATCTAACGAAAGAAATTTATATAATAAAATAATTACATTTCAGTGTTATTTGTGGCATCACAGAAGACATTGACTATAGTCATATAGTTAAAGCAGCACTTCAGTCTGTTTGTTTTCAAACAAGAGATATTCTTGAAGCCATGAAAGAAGATATAGGAATGACTTTGACAAAATTATTAGTCGATGGAGCAATGACAAATAATAATTTGCTAATGCAAATGCAAGCCGACATTTGTGGTGTTCCTGTAGGTTAGTTAAAATATAATTTCTATTTAAATATATACTCAATTATATTCGATTGAAATAATAATTATGTTGAAATAAAATGACTGGCAATTGTTCAAGAGTTTAAATATATGCATTTAATTGTTGCCAATGTTTCAATCAAATTATGATTGTACTAATTAATGATTATAAATAATTGCCTACTTTGTTACCTTCGGATAATCGTAATACATACATATTTCGATTAAATGGGCTAATTAAATATTAATTCTTTAATTATATATCATTTTTATTGAAATTATTAAGAGTTTAATTGAAATGTCTTTTTCATTTAGTCAGACCAGTTATGTGCGAGATAACGGCACTTGGAGTAGCGATTGCTGCAGGTTCTGCGGAAGGTATTAAGAAATGGGATATCAATATTAGTACAAATGTGCCAAGTGATACTTTCATCCCGTCAATTACAGAAAATGGTATTTATTAAATCAATACCTTGGTTAATTATATAATTATCCTTACGCAAATTTTAATACTCAAATGTAATTAATTTCCAGAACGGGATATACTGTATTCAGAATGGAAAAAAGGTATCGAGCGAAGTCTTGATTGGGACACTGAGGTTGCCTCTGGTATGTATTTAATAAAAAGATTTGAAAACCTTTAAAATCAGTTTACAAAATAACGACTCTATTTCTAGAGGAAGAGGAGGACATCAATAAAATGACAACGTCTGGTATATTTATTTTTAGCACCTTACTGCTACTAATGTTTGCAAAATATCGATCGTGAAGTTTGAGCTGTTGTATAAAAAAGAATAGATTAAAAATTATTCCAAGCATTAAAGAACTTTTACAAGTTCTGTTCCAATTGCATTTAGTGCTAAAAATATCTATAATGAAATGACTTAAAGGTATCAATAAGTAGAAAATAAAATATTGTAAATACAGCTCTTCTTAATTGAACCACTCTTAGTGATCTTTAAATTATTTTCTTACTATTTGCCGACAATATTAGTTTATTATATTTGTAAAATCATCATTAGTTCGCAGTTTATTTATTTGACACGATTTATTTAACATTATATATATATATATATATATAATGTATATACATATATATATATATATATATATATATATATATATATATATATATATATATATATATATATATAATGCATATATAAGATATATATACATACATATACGAGGATATGACAGCTTCCTATGGAATACCTAAGTTATTAATTTAATCAGTATTTGATTAGATTACCATTTACTGGTTCAAAAATTAGTCTTATTTACATACTTATTATTTCTATTATAAATTAACTAATACATTTTAATATTTAATTCAAATATTTATAACTGTATATTGTACAAAATATGAAGAATTTGAGGTTATTATTTTATTTGTTATTTGTAAAAATTATGTGTAGTAAGGTAATGATGCATGATATAAAAATATTAATTTTTATATCTTGTACTACATGTAGGTATTATAAACTTGAATATGTCAGAGCTTAAATCCATGTTATTGTTGTTATAAATAAAAACATTTTTATTTAATAAACGTATTTATTTGTTCAATTTCCTTCATTAGTAATTTAATAAATTATGATTTTTAAATAGTTTTCATTTTACCATTTTTGTTTTTGTTTTTTTCTTTTCTTTAATTTTTTTCTCGTCTAATAAGTAATAATTTTAATTATTCTTGCGTGCCACTATTTTTGTTTGTATTATCTTTACTGCTGAAGAAATTTTTCGATCTTTCCGATAACTTTTCTGATGAGTAGTTGGTATTCAAATTATTAGTATTTGACGATTCTCCCTGTAAAAATAAATTACATCTTATTTAACTGATATCGTAATATAATAAAATTTTGTCTCATTAATTAATCTAATAATCTTGTTAGAAAAGGAAACTTATTTGATAACTAATATTTTTAATGTATATAAAATTTGCCTTGAATGTAAAATTTAATAGTTAATCTATGTATTGGTAAATAAATTGATAATAATACAGTTTGACGTTTTTAGAGTAGAAATCGTCGATACTTGAGTAATTAATAATAAAAAGTATTTAAATATATTATAATTTTATCACGATATTTTAACCGCATAATATCATTCAAAAACTAAATTTCCAGATTTTAATTTTTAAAACGTGTACGCATCTGTAAGTATATATTACAAGAAAAATGTCTTCCGTAGAAGTGTGAGCTGTTGTTGTTGCAATTGAAATCCATGGATCTTTCTGAATGTCCACGATCTTTGGACGTGCTGCTTGCGGTACGAGGATATACTGAATTAAATTGCGACATTCGTTCGACACCTTCGGTGATTTCGGAAATACTACTTTACTTTGTACTTGCTGTAATTATAATATTAAAATATTTCATATATATATATATATATATATATATATATATATATGAATAGTAGAAAATAACAATTTTCATAAAATAAAATGTTTAAATAATAATCTTCAAAATAGATGGTTTTAATAAAATCAACTTTATAAATAGCTTTATAAAAGTTTTATAATTTTTATAAGATTTTACTACTTTATATATTCGTGCTTCATACAATAATTTGAATAATGGTACTTATTATCTTTAAACAACTAATGACATTATATGAAAACAAAAATCTTTAAAATTTAATAATCTTAATTATTGATATGTTTGTTTATTTAACAATTTAATAAAAATTAAAATCGATAATATTTATAACAAACTTTAGTAATGAAATTGTAAATTGATTATCATAATAAAGGTTTACAACATTGTATTTGTTATTAATTATTTTATATAAGTATCGAGACATTTAGAAAGAATAATAAAAATAACGATTATATATGTATGACACATTTTTAATTATAAAAAAAATTCTTCATTAAATTTATTAAATTTTTCTAGCAGTTACTTTTTTTCAGTTCTTTCAAATAATAATAATAATAATAATAATAACAATAATAACAATAATAATAATAATAATAAATCCTAGATTAAGAATAAAAAAATTAGAATCGATAAAAATAGCCGACAGAAAAATGGATATAGAAGATACATAAAATTATATTTTATTTGAAATTAAAATATTTCTATAAATATAAAGTTATAATCGATTGATTGTAAATTAATATACAGAAAGTATTTAATATTAATATTTTCATTAAAATAATAATAATTTAAAACATCAATATTTATTAATTATTTAAAATCAAATAAAATTGATCGATCATTACAAAAATAATCTATGAAAATATCTCGTAATAGATTCAATAGTTAAAATATCAACCCAATTACTCAAAACCTTTAAGTGGTAGTTTAGATGACATTGAGAGTCAATGTTAGAAGTTTGGGTAGAAAAATATTAGTTTCACTATGTAAGAATATTATTATTTATTAATATATTCGACGTATTTTTTGTATGCTATATTAATGTGTACTAAAAAAAAAAAAAAAAAAAAAAAACAACTCTGTCATGATATAATGAAGTTGTATGACTTCTCCATTGAAATATTAAAATCGTCTGACATTAACATATTTAAAACAAGTTACAAACATTATAACATTATAAAAATTCCATTCATATACACTTGTTTTAAAAATCTTTTGTATAATTAGAGACATGCCTTATTTAAACAATAGCTACTAATTAACGGCAATTAACAATTAACTTTTATGAATTAATAAAATTCAGTAAAATTTTAATAAAAATGTTTATGCCATATTAAAAATACAGTTGAATTAACGGGTATTTTAAAATTATGCCTTTATTAATTTTCAATAATATTTAGCAGTAAAGTTAATTAATTGCACAAGTTTCAAAAGTTAATCAATGCTTTAAGGTTTTTAAAAATGTAATTTTACTTAATCTTATAACTGATTTTTACCGAAAAAAATAATAGTACGTTTCACCCTGTGACTCTATGATACATTTTCATAGATTTTCTCACGGTATACCTTAAGGAGCTACCTTGAGAAGTTTCGACCAGTTAGATTCGTCGAAAGGCAATGTGCCGAAGACCATTGTATAAAGCACAACGCCAGATGACCAAATATCTGATAATTGTGGCTGGTATGGTATACTACGCAAAATTTCCGGCGATGCGTATGCAAAACTTCCACAAAATGTTTTGCAAAGAAGTACGACACTGTTCGAGGGTTTGACGTAGCCTCGAGCGAATCCAAAATCTGATAATTTCAGATTATAGTAGCGATCTATCAGCAGATTTTCACACTTCACATCCCTATGCATATTTACATTAATATGAATTGAGGTAAATAACGTAAATGTTTGCAGATACATCAATACATTGAAGTGAAAAGTAGTTAAAACAACAGTTTTCATTTCAATTGAACATTTTTTTATTTTCATTAGAAAATATACTTTGAATTTTATTTCATTTTAGTTGAGTAAAATGTTGAGTTATTATGTAATTATTCAAAAATACGTATAATTTTTATATTTTATACTTCTAATTATAATGAGATAAAATTATATTGAAATGTTTGCTTTTTTTTAATTATTAGAATGATATGCGTTTAATATGTATGAATTGTAAAATTTCTTTTCAAATGACTTGTTAATAACTGTTAAGGATAATTGAAAGTATAATTTAATTTGAAAATTTTTCTTAGATATAAATTTTATGAATAACAATGAGGATTCTTAAAGGATTAATAAATTATAATTAACGAAGGTATTAATTACATTAGAATTTTTAATTTAATTTCTAACGAAAAAAGTTTTTAAGTAATAGATTAATTTAAAAATAAGAATAAAAAAATTATCCATATAAATTAGTCCTTACGTCATACATAAAAATGAAATATAGTTAGAATATAGGAAAAATACAATTAATAATTCCATTATTAATATTGAAAGTTATATTAAAACATAATTACAATTTCATTGTAATGATCATCGGAAAATTTATTCCGTAGTTAATATTAATTGACATACAAATAATGGAATAAATTAATTGCTTTTAATATTATTTGTATGTTTATACCTTCGGAATCATTTCGTGTAATTTACCTGTGAACAACTCCTTTGTTATGGCAGTAATCAAGGGCTTCTAATAATTGACGAAACCAAATTCGACTCCGATTTTCATCTATATATTTTTCACGACGAATTATGTCAAACAAACTACCATTTTCTGCATATTCCATTATTATATAAAGTCTAAAATTATATTTACACTTAAATAATTTACATGTTAAATTAAGTATTTATTATAGCCATGATATATGTAATATAAAAGTTGTTAGAAAAGATTATAATTCAATTTTTAATTAAATTCAAGTTATACCTGTGAGATGTTTCGATTGCTTGCATAAATCGAATTAAATACGGATGTCGTAATCCTTTTACAACTTCAATTTCCCTTGGAAGAAATGTACTTAAATTGGCACTCGGAGCTTGAAATTTTGAAATAATTTTGACTGCTACCAAACCTCCATGTTTGCTCGATTTAGCGACCTAAAAATAAGAAATCGACAACGAATACGAAATAGTACTATATAATTTTTTTCATCATTTTATCATTTCGATTACTATAATATTTTGCAAAATAAGGGATTACGATTAATGAATTATGTCAAAAAAAAAAAAAAAAAAATTGGAAACTCAACTTTGATTATATGTACAATAATAATATTTATAATTTTCACATGCGAAGAATAAATATACATGGATCAAGTATATGATATACTCGATACGTAATAATGTATTATGAATTAACAGACATTTATATATTTATTTGATAATACATGTATATTTTGTATATAAAGGCATTATATTGAATCACTATTTTATTTAATTTACAAATTATTTTGGAAGCTTGCAGAAGCTTTGAATCCATTTCATACATATAAAACCCGTTAAAAAAAATATATATATATATATATGTATCTGTGTGTGTATATATATATATATATATATATAGAGAGAGAGAGAGAGAGAATTTTATACTGATTTCAAAGGAAATTTCATTAAAAATAAGTTTTGTAGAAGAAATAAAACTTAATTCTAACTTATTTAATAATTTTTAATCTTTTTAATATTGTTGTATTTACTTTGACAGTAGCATAAGTTCCAACACCGATAGTTTTACCGACCGTATATCCACGGGATTCCAATACAGTGAGTTTTTTTTCATCTTTATTTTTATTTCCGTTACAAGTATGAGGACTCGCCGGATTCGTTTCGTTCATCGGATCGTTGCTACCCTATAATTTAATTATTATAATTTTTATACCTACTAATTGGATTTATAGATTTGGACGTCGGTGTAATAATGTGCGCTTACTTCGTTCAAAACTGCATCCAAACATTATAAATATTATTTAAAAAAAATTTTTTCCAAAAATATATACGTAACCTGATCATGTTGTGGAATTTCAACTTTAAAATTTAGATTGATTTGTTTTTAATCGAAGACAATTTCGACAAATGATCATCGACGTCGATTTTTTCTCACATCAATGCTCTTAGCATTCGAAAATTTAAATAACTTTCGCGCTTATTAGAATTCTAGCTGCCATATTGTATTTCGCGCGTTCTACTTTCTAAACGGATAGCCATCCATATGAATTAAAATTATCATTCATATTTCGGTATTATTTTTCATTTAACAAACAGCTATTTGTTTTGTTTTTTAAAAAGTGAGTTAAGTATTGTACAATGGCTGATGTGTTGGATATTGATAATGCAGAAGAGTTTGAAGTCGATGATGAAGGAGATCGTAAGTAATTGTTTACTTTTTAATTGTGCGGTATAACCTGTATATTCAATCTATTAGAACTTTTGATTATGTTATATCGATAATACAACCGTAATCTATAAGTTTATATTACATGGCTGTCAGCATATTAACGTTATATTTCTATGTTTTATAGAAGGAATTGCGCGACTTAAGGAAAAAGCAAAGAAGAGGAAAGGTCGTGGACATGGGGCAGAGCTTGTTTCTACTAGAGACGATGTTGGCCATTATGAGTCTATGCACATAGTGGAAGATGATAATGAGCCTGGACCTCAAAGATGTAAATAATCTCCATCTTTATATAGGATTGTGATAGTTGAATATAAGCTCGATATAAACTTATTGTATAATTCAAAATTTATTCATATATTATTATGGTGTATAACGATAAAGGATATTATGTTTGATTATAGCTGTAGAAGGATGGATTTTATTTATTACGTCTGTTCACGAAGAGGCTCAAGAGGATGATATTCAGGATAAATTTTCAGAATTTGGTCAGATAAAAAATATTCATCTTAATTTAGATAGAAGAACAGGATTTTTGAAGGGCTATGCTCTTGTTGAATATGAAACATTCAAAGAAGCACAAGCCGCTAAGGATGCCTTGAATGGCACAGAAATTCTAGGTCAGCCAATTGGAGTAGATTGGTGCTTTGTTAAGGGTCCCAAAAAGTACGTCTGTTGTTTCATTTGCGTGTTTAATCATACATACATACATACATACATCTATATAAATCTATTTTTCAGATTAAAGAAACGAAGTGGTAGAAGAAGGTAGACAAAGATTTTAAAAGTGTTTAAATAACTGGACCATTATTTTATTTTTTTTTTTTTCACTATTTCCTTACGATTGTAAACATTTATGTTACTTTATATGTGTAAGATTGATACTCATTGTAACCGAATTTCATAATTAAATTTAATTTAATAAGCTCCACTCTATTCTTTTTTCACAAATATTTTTATTTCATATTATTACATAATAGTAAGTTAAAAAATTCTTAATAAATACAAATATTTGTAGTTTAGGCATAATAACTAAGGTTCGGTTTCTTTTTAGCTTGTACTTCATTAATTGCTTCCATCAAATCTTCATGCGTCAAAGCAGTAGCATTGCGTCTCAAGGCAATCATACCCTATAAAATATAACTTATTTATTAAACAATTCAATAAAATTCGAGAATTTTTATGAAATATAATATTGTTAAATTATACACGTTTGTATGTACACCTAAGAATTCAAATTTTTTAAATATAAATTTTCCAAAGAATATAAAGCACAAATGTTAATATTATAGAATAATAAATATGAAACATAAATATATAGTGAATAATTATAAAAATTAAAGCAATTCATCAAACCAACCGCTTCGACGCAGACAGCTTTACACTGTGCTCCGTTAAAATCATCCGTACTTCTGGCAAGTTCTTCAAAGTTAACGTCCGGAGACATATTCATTTTCCTTGAGTGAATTTGCATAATTCTTGCTCTCGCTTCTTCGTTTGGATGTGGAAATTCAATTTTTCTATCTAATCTGCCTGATCTTAATAAAGCAGGATCTAAAATATCAACACGATTCGTTGCTGCAATAACTTTGATATCAGCTGTAGAACTAAAGCCATCTAATTGATTCAAAAGTTCTAACATTGTTCTCTGTACTTCACGATCTCCGGCTTTTTCTGAATCAAATCTCTTGGTACCAATAGCATCAAGTTCATCGATAAAAATAATTGCTGGAGCTTTTTCCTTTGCAAGGCTAAATGCATCTCTGACAAGTTTTGCTCCATCACCGATAAACATTTGCACTAATTGTGGTCCAGCTAATTTTAAGAATGTAGATTTTGTTTGAGCTGCGCAAGCTCTAGCTAACAATGTTTTTCCTGTACCTGGAGGACCATACAGTAAAACTCCTTTAGGTGGTTGAATACCTAGGTTTTCGAATTTTTCCTTATGAGTCATTGGCAGAACTACAGCTTCGATTAATTCTTGAATTTGCTTGTCAAGACCGCCGATATCTGAATACTGCTCCGTAGGACGCTCATCGACTTCCATTGCTTTAACTCTGGCATCATATTCTGCGGGAAGTGTTTCTAAGACCAAATAACTGTCTTTGTTAACTCCAACAAGATCACCTGGTTTTAATGCCTCGGCATCAACGAGTCCTATAACTGGAAGAAAGTAAGTTTGACGTGTCGAAGTCTTTATCACAGCACATTTTCCTTTTCTTTGAGCATCTAAATCGACCACTGCTCCATCTTCTTCACCCATATCTTGTGGATCAACATCAAGTAATTCTATCACATTGGATACTAGATACGGTAAGGTTTTGTTTACCTTAATTTTTTCAGTATTTTCTTTAATTTTGTCATTCTGAGCTTGTAATTCATGCGAAATACGCATTACTTCACTCTTCATTATTTTAATTTCATTATCTAAAAGTCGAGTACGAGACACTATTTCATCTGTTGACATGCGAAGTACTTCTTCACGAAGTGTCTCCTTTGAAAAATAAAATTATTATCATAAAAATTAGAAACTTCTGGTAACATATATAGGCTGCTTTTAAGTTTTAAAATTCGACGAACACTATTTACATTTATAAACTTAGCATGCATACAATTAAAAGAATTAAAATAATTAATAAGCTGTCACATTATTTAGCAAGTTACTTATTACTCCTAAGAAGTGCTTGTCATTGATAAAAAAATATAACCTACAAATACACAAAATTTTTTTACAATACCTCGCCGTCTTCCCAAATCGATTTATCCTCTAACGTTGCCATATTAATTTCAAGATTTTCGTCGTACTGATACAACAACCAATTGATATATTTTAGAGAAATAAAATGTTAAAGAATTATCTTACGAAAAGATCTATGTCAATTATATTTTTACTTAAAGTAGTACTAGATTTATTTAGTTTTTTCCCTGTGGAAATTGGGATTTGTGAAAACTCTATTGTAGTCTCATTATTTGCTAAAAGATGGCGCTAATATAACAATATTTAATATTCCTGTAAAATAATAGTGGATTGTAAATAAGATAAATAATTAAAAATCTTATATATTATTCTCGTTATAAGGAAAGGATATTTGCAGTTGCTTTAAATTTAATAAATTTAAATTTATAGATATTATAATTACATAGACAGATATAGCAGATTTATATTATAATTTTTATAATTTTGTATGTATAATAAGAAATTCTCTTATAAAATTAATATCGATAAAAAATATAATATAATTATATTAATTGTTTTTTAATTAATTTTCATCATTATTTTAGAATTTTTATTTATATATTTTATATTTTAGATGTTTTATTGATTTTTCAAATAAATAGTGAAACAACTAATTTGGCATGTTATTAATTTATTGTGCTATCGCAAATATGAATTAAAATGTATATTATTTTTGTTAGAAAAATTAAATAAGATTATAAATCAATACACAAATAAATATTTATAAAAAATTAAAAATAAATATAAATTACATGTGCATATATATATATATATATATATATATATATACATATGCATATATATAACATACTGCGTAGGTTTTAATCTCCATGAAAGTATATAAATTATAATTGTATGATTAAGTAAACAATTTATTTAGAATCCAACAATATTGGGTAATCATTGTTACAATTACAATAAAGGTTAAAGAGAATTTATAAATTCACAATTCAAATAAATACTTCAGAATATATTTTGTAAAATTGCTTTAAATAGAATGGATTATATGCACATGTAGTTTACTAATAAATAAATTGCAAGATTTTTTATACATCTTTCGTCTACCTTAGTATTTTTATAATTTGATGAAATTTTAATATTATTGTTTTGTAATTTTCATACATTTACGTATATATCAATGTTATTTGAAACATAGAACAATAATCGTTTACATGGAATAGCGTAAAGAGTAATTTTTTTAAGCACATAAACTAAATGATATTTATATCGATGATATTTCAACAATATTCTGACAAAAATATTTTTCATTTGGAAATTATTTACTTTAATTGGAAAAATAAAATTCCATCGTAGAAAAATTGTATAAAATACTTAATTCCTTTGTTTAAATATTTCCGTGTATTTGTTAAAATTGAATTTTTATTTCTGAAGGCTGCAATTAATTAAATTAATGCAAAATTAATTTTCAATTTTTTAAAAAAATATTTCTATTTTTAACTAAATGTTTATGAATTTTTAAACTCATATTATACGTATTTAATGAAATTTTGATTTTCATTATTTAATCGTTCATCTAATTAAAAGAAATTAGGATATTTATTTTTTATAAAAATTCTATTCAAAGCCAAGAAATAATGTTTAGGATAGTAATGGGTGATTTTATTTATTTACTATTAAATATGCAGATAAATACAATTATCAAAATAATTGAAGTATATTATTACCGTTTAAAGAATCAGTAATAAATAAAGGAATATCATTTAAAACAATTTTATTATTAACTACATTCAAATGTAAAAATTGATTTTCTTATATGTAAAAAGTCTTTTGTTCAGGCTCTAATATAAAACTATTCAAGTTAGATGAGAATTCCTTGAATTTCTAAAGTTTCAAATAACCTCTGTTTCAGTGGATATATCCCACAATAAGGAAACTATTCTAATTATTTTAACGCTAAAATCGATAATATTGATTTTATGTGACTGGTTTAAAAATTTCTTTGGTATAGGTATATTTAATAGACAGTTAACAGTGCACTATTTTCGCATTTTTTATTTCAAAGAATAACATTTATCAATATGGACTAATTACTATATAAATATAGCAAACTAATTTAAAGCTTTGTCAATAATTGATTAAAAGTGAGAAATTCGTTACATAATATTTCAAAAAGATTTATAAAAACTAATAAAATAATCTAATTGTACATTAAATACCTTAACTTTAATGTAACAGGAATCAAGTAAAAGTATTAACTTTTATAATGCAATGGCGTTAATACATCTTTTCTTAATAAATAACAATAAAACACTAATCTCAATTGTAATATAACTGCATTTTAATTTAATGATTATTGATCAGTAGTAGAGCCGTAAACAAAAATTCTGATTTGAATGAGACAGTATCCGTTTAACACTGACCGCAAATTTATTCAAGCTCATGTATATTTCATGCACTATTTTTAGCTAAATTAAAATTGTTTTATATTTCAAATTATTATGCTCGATCGTATTATTAACTTTACGTGCTTACTATGTGACAACGAGAGAATTATTATACTTTATCAAATATGCAAATCTAATATATTCTTACATTTATAAATGTTTTATAAAGATCGAAGAAAATAAATGGCATTTAAATTAAGTTAATTAAGCATTATTTTTCTATTGGGTTTGGCTGCTTTTACAGTTCTGTATAGTTAGTATGTTCCATTTGTTCATTATATAAAATTATTTATACATTACATTAAAACTTTAAATAATTTTCATTATGAATACAAATTAAGTGCACAATTAAGAAACACGAAAGAGCAAAATAAATGTTGTAAGTTCCAAAAAGTTATAACAATGTAGTTAAAATTTAAATGATAAGAGTCGAGGGTCCAGGTGTCCGAGAAACGTCTGATGTTTATAATCTCTTTACCGTTAGATGTTAAATAACATCCTATTATCGAAAAGAGAGAAAAAAAACATAATTGCATAGTATTAGTTATTGCAGCTCCATCAATTTCAGCGTAATGTAGTTAATATAAAATCACTGCTTCAATTTGAAGTAAAAGGAGGTTGAATAAAAAAAAAAAAAAGAAATAAAAAAGAAAAAAAAATGATATAGAGTTCATGACCCACTTTGAACGAATTCAATAAAAATTCAATAGAATATCCTCAACTATCGTGCACTTCAACAACAAGAAAATCTAAATGTTGGACGTGTATCTGCACATATCTGCCATTTATCTATGTGGTATCCCTCAAACCATCATACATATACATCACAAATCGTATATAGGCACCTGTATAGAAGCAAGGGATAAGTTGATAGCAAAAAAATTGAATTTAATGCTTTGGCTTTAACGAGAGAATGCGGAACAAGTGGCGTTAAGAGAATGAGATCGTATGTATATGTCTATTTTGCAAAGTCAATGTAAAAGTATTATGTATGCAAGAGTTACAATGTCCTTCAATTAAAAAGTACTTTATGCAGTTAGTGAGTCAAGAGAAAAATTGTTTCTCCATGAGCTGTTAAAGAAATAAAAATGTGAAGTAATAAGAAGTAATAAATTGAATAGTAAGACAAAATAACACATGCGTCAATTTAACATTGAAAAAGTTCTATTGTACAAATATGAAAATAAATATGAATAGCTGAATTTAGTCAATTTCATTCATTAATTTAAATAAGTTCACTTATTTTATGCTAGTGAAACGTTAAATAATACAGTGTGTTCCAAACAAAAAATCGAATAAATAGGTTTCCTTTCATTAATAATCTTTTTAGCATATTAATATACGATTTATACAATGAAATAAATATTGAATTATACGTTAAGACATTTCATTTATAATTCATATTTATCATAGATATTTATAATCCATATGAGAACAACAAAGGAAATACTAAGAATTAAAGATTTTAATTCGCATTTGGATTATAAATAAGGAAATGCATGAAATTTCTTCATCAAATTATAATATTAGATATTACATTAATTCTCAATATTTGCAAATATTGTCTTAGTTAATTTAGTTACTTTGCTTTGTCACTATCATTAATCTCATTATACGAAAAATTGAAAATTCAATATAACATTAAAAATCAAATTTACTCCGTAAAATATGTTATTTTATATATGTACATAGAATTATAATACTTTATAATTTTATTAATAAGCCTTATTATTATTATTATTATTATCATCATCATCATCATCATCATCATCATTATTATTATTATTATTAATTGAAATTTTACCTGCGTATAAGAATTCATGGCTTATGAGAATGCACTCGTTTATTGCTTTTAAATCTTTAAAAAGTAATGATGTGTGAATATATAATGCGTATACAAATGACTTTTCCCTAAAATTCTATTTCATTTTAATTCTCAATTTCTATTCTATTTAGCCAAAAACTTAATTCATATTAATAAAATTAATTAGTTTAGTTTATATTAAGTATAAAGTTTAGACTTATTATTATCTTATATTAAAACATTTATCATTAACCTCATTCGCTCATTTATTTATGTATTATTAATTAATTCGGAACAATAATAATAAGAGACTAAATGTAGGAACATAATTTATAAATTATATTCTTTTTATTCCGTCCTCACTCAATATGCAATAGTTTATCTTATAAAATTTACAAATATATTTCGAAAAGCTTTTTATAAAAAGTATTATAATATTATTCGTTAACGAGTCGTTGAATTATAAATAATATCGTGTCTCGTGCAATTTTGAAAATATTTTGTCAGAATTATTATTTCGCGCGTTCAACAGTGAATATAAATAGTTTCATTTTTCCAGTTTCAATATTCAGAATATCAAAAGAAAAAGTTACTTAAATATTGGATAATAATTCGCTTATAATTAAGTTAATGGAATCGTCGGCTTAACATTTTTCCAAAGCAAAAGATTCACAACAAAGGCTCATTATTTCACAGGTATATAACGATTGAAGACGAAGTTCAAAGACCTCGCTGCTCTCGAATTAACATCTTGCTATTGTCGTCATTCAAATATAAGGCGATGTCGAGAAAAGTTTACTGCAGACATGTTTATTATGCAATGAGAGCACATGCATAAATTCATTTTTCGCCATATTGAGAAGTAACTCAATTTTTCGTATACGAGCTTGAGACTTAATTATAGGCGTAATGTTCAATTTCCTATGTAGTATGCATGTATAAATTTATTATTATTTTTCTTCCATTCGGTAAATTTATATTTCATAT